TTGTGTTGGCCAATTTATCCCATTTGGAATGGGTGTATTTACCCAATGCCTGTACTCCCATTGTATCCAGGAAGTAACTGACCTGTTTTTGATCTTATATGTTTATAGGCGGAGGGGACTTGCCTTGACCCAGATTATACATTGGACTGTGGACTTTTGAGTTAATGCTGAGATGAATTAAGACTTGGGGGAACAGTTGGGAAGGCATGATTTGTTTTGAAATGTGAGGACATGAGATTTGGGAGGGCCTGGGGTGGAATGATATGGTGTGGCTGTGTCCCCACCCAAATCTCATTTTGAATTGTAGCTATCATAATCCCCTTATATCATGGGAGGGAACTGGTAGGAAGTAATTGAATCATGGGAGTGAGTTTTTCCCATGCTGTTATCTTGAAAGTGAATAAGTCTCACGAGATCTGATGGTTTTATAAAGGACAGTTCCCCTGCACGTGCTCTCCTGCCTACTGCCATGTGAGATTTGTCTTTGCTTCTCTTTTGCCTTCTGCCATGATTGTGAGGCCTCCCCAACTGTGTGGAACTGTGAGTCAATTAAGACTCTTTCCTTTATAAATTACTCAGTCTCGGGTATGTTCTTATAACAGCATGAGAATGGACTAATACAGCCATCGAAGCTGCTTATGGTATACTTGGTTCTGCTGCAGCCTTGCAGGGAGCCAGTGCCCTTGCCAGTGCCTAGAGCTGTCCTCTCTTCTGCAGCTGGTGTGCCTTGCTGCACAGTGTGTGGACCCCACACTCACTCACACCCCCCTTACTGCTCCACACCTGGCTTGCCCTTGGCAGGTGTGGGATCCAGGTCAGTAGCAGGAGCCAAGGACAGCCTTCCAGGCTGAGTGGGCATAATGCGCCTAGCAGGCCAGAGCAAAACTCAGGCCTAGGCGCCACTGGCCACTGAGGTTTCTGGCTGGCAAAATGACACTCCAAGGATCCCATAACAATAACTCTTAATTTTTATATTTTTTATTAATTTTTATCACAGGCTACTCATAGAGCAGTGAGGGGAAAGAAGTGCTACTTAACAAGCAGCCCTTCAGTCCAAATGGGGTAAACATTAGTTGAGCATCACTATATTTACAGTTTTTTTTTTTTATTATAATTTAAGTTCTAGGGTACATGTGCATAACGTGCAGGTTTGTTACATATGTATACTTGTGCCATGTTGCTGTGCTGCACCCATCAACTCGTCAGCACCCATCAACTCGTCATTTACATCAGGTATAACTCCCAATGCAATCCCTCCCCCCTTCCCCTTCCCCCCTCCCCATGATAGGCCCCGGTGTGTGATGTTCCCCTTCCCGAGTCCAAGTGATCTCATTGTTCAGTTCCCACCTATGAGTGAGAACATGCGGTGTTTGGTTTTCTGTTCTTGTGATAGTTTGCTAAACTAGGTTAACTAATTTTCTAATGTTAAAAATGTATAATTTTGTTTAGGAGGTAACAGGGATGAAGTAGCAAGGGAATCATGGTGGTGGATACAGCAAGAAAATATGCCTTCCAAGTTTATTGAAAATTGTAAATTTTCGATTTACAATTCTTCATTAAAAAATAAGCCAAGACCACTTGTATACTTCAAGGCAAAAGTATGAAAACAGTAGCACATTTGATTCCGTGCAGGCGCTGCTGTCTTGGAGGTGGAGTCAGTGTAGCAGGATAGTCTACTTTTATTGATTTTAATTGACTAAGTTTTTTTCTTTCCTTTGAGATCATAAAATTATGTATTAATAGAACAACAAGTTTGAGGTGGCTAATAATTCATGTTTCTGTGTTTTATGTAATAAAATTAGGAGGCATTTCTTTCAAGTTCAAGGAATATTTTATTTGGCAATATGTACCAGATCTAATCAATTCAATTTTTAAACATTCATTTTTTAAAGTTGGCTGTAGAGTTTGTTTATAGCAGAGAGATACTTTAATTCCAATAAACTTTCAGATCTTCCATAAGAATTTAAAATTCTCAGCTGAGTCACCGTTGCAGTGTTGAGTCATATCATCATGAAATCAGTGATGTTCTAGGTTCTAATGAATAGCATTAACCTCTGAATTTCAGCAAGGTAAAATATTGCAAGAATTCTAATGTAGTCTTAGTATCTAAGACTTAGTTTACCTGGTTTACCTTAGTTTACAAATCCTTGCTGGATGAATATTTAGTAATTGTAACTTACAACAAACTCCACATGCTATATTCATAGTATTGTGATGTCGTAATAGAAATAATGATACCCCACTGAATTGCTCTTCTCAGGATCCTTTGATTCTTTCTTTCTGCCTAACTTTTTAGCTCTGAAGTGTTCTGAATCTCACCACTTGGACCTATTTCCTTGATAGTATGTTTAGAGGTTCTGGCAGGGAAATACAGCTGCTTGTGTACCCTTGAGTGAAGAATGGTTCTCCTCCATTTGGGAAGGTCATCCTCTTTGACCTAGCAAGTAGCTTCAGGAAGGACACACATGGAGTAGTGAGGAAGAAAAAAGACACCTGCCAAGTCAGCCAGATTAGCTGAATCAATCCTGGCAATCAATGAGGTGGCAGATTTGGCAGCAGGGTTACTCTTATATTTTTGGATCTATTTCCTTCACTGACTGAAGGCATTGCTTAGTGATTTAATCTTATCTAATCTCATGGATTTATCTGTCATCTTTATGCAAATGATTCTCAAATTATACAGCCCAGACATCTCTTCTAAACTTTATAATAGTTTATCAAACTACCTATTTGAGATCTAGATCTAAATTTTTGAATAATCACTTCACTGTGATTTCTAAAACGTGATTTCCAAAACTGATTTCCAAAACGTGATTTCCAAAACTGAACCTCTGATCTTTTCCCTAAATCTATAGCCTTTCTCAGATCAGTTGAATGACAACTCCATACTTAAGTTTGCTCAGGCCAAAAACCCCAGAGTCATCCTTTATTTTTCTCTTCCTCTTATACCCTGTATTTAAACCATTAGGCCATCATGGTGGCTCTCCCCTTTTCAGACTATGTCTGTGTCTGGTGGAATAGTTATTCTCATTACTTAAAGACAATAAGGCTCAGAGACATTAAGAGAACAGCCCAAATCCACATGGTTGGGAAGTGATGAAGTCAGATTTCAAATTTATCTTTTCTGACTGACCACAACTAACATGCTCTTTCCAGAATACTAATGCTTCTCCTAAATAAATGTTATAATTACTTTTTTTATTTACATAGTTTAGAAATATGATTTGACCTATTGTATACCTGGAGATTTATAAAACAGTACATGTTATTTTGATTAGTTTCTGTAGGAATTCTCTATGCATGCTGCGGTTATTTCGTAAATACTTGCTAACTCAGTTGAATTGACTGGTACTCTTGCTATTTTATGTTGCTCTGGGTTAGGAAATGTGTTTTCAGTTGCAACATATAATTGGATATGTGTGTGTAAGATAGAAAAGAAGAGGTTATTAATGAAATTAAAATATTCGAGAAGGTCCTTTGGAAACCTCTTTTTCAGAGATTTCTTGCTATGTCTGACTTTAGAATATGTATTAGCTTTTTTTTTTTAATCTTACATGAAAATACTTGTCTAATTGCTGGAGTTTTTGTGACATGTAATATTGATCTTAATGCTAATCATTTAAGCTTAGATTATGGAATAATTTAAATTCTTTAAAATTTTATCTCAAGGGCCTCTGAAAAGAGGGACATTTTATAATTCTTAAATTCACTCGATTCTAAGTTCCTCTAATAGATTATAGTGTCAAAAAGGCAATGTGTTGGAATCATGGTAGAGCAATATCATAAAAGAAATTTCAGTGTTGGTTAGATTATTTAAATATTCCAGTTTTACTGATGTAGTTTTTGTAGTTTAGTAGAAGTTATCCCTTGCTATGTAATTAAATGTAGCAAAAATGAAGTATGTTAAGCTAAATTTTGCTTGGTTAAAATTATATATATATATAATATATATATTTTGAGACAGAGTGTCACTCTGTCGCCCAGTCTGGAGTGCAGTGATGCGATCTCGGCTCACTGCAAGCCCCACCTCCCGGGTTCACACCATTCACCTGCCTCAGCCTCCCAAGTGGCTGGGACTACAGGCGCCCGCCACCATGCCTGGCTAATTTTTTGTATTTTTAGTAGAGACGGGGTTTGACCATGTTGGCCAGGATGGTCTCTATCGCCTGACCTCGTGAACCGCCCACCTCGGCCTCCCAAAGTGCTGGAATTACAGGCATGAGTCACCGCACCCAGCCTAAAATTGCATCTTTTGCTTGCTAGGTTATATCTTTGACCCTTGAAAGAAGTCAAGTTTAAATTTTTGGGAGATTTCTATTGTTTATGATTGTGACATATTTTGAAAGCTATTTTTCTTCTTTATATGTATATGTAAAACATTTATCTATTAAACAGATTTTAGGTAAACAGCCCTGGGATAATTAATTGATCTTTATTTTTGTCTTCTAAATTTGCATTTTTAAATTTACTTGTTTTATTATTTTATCAATTGGTGTTATTTTGATTGATTCCAGGATAAAATTTGATGACTATTTAATTCATAAAAGCAATTTTCACATCTTAAATTTTATATATCTGTTTACCTACCTACCTGCCTATCTACCCACCTACCTACCTTTGCTTTGATAGAAACATTCAGTATGGAGTCACTTTTGAAATATTCTTATAGGCTTTGGAACAATTTCTTAAAGCAATAAAATTATATGTGAGGCACTGAAAAGAAAAACTGTGTCTAGTAATTAACTCATTCCGTTGCCACAGGAAGTAAAGATGTGTGCAACTGCAGCTGTAATGGCATAAATTTAGAAAGCAAACTTAATTTACTGCTTCTAAAAAAATATCTGTTGGCACAACAAAACTAAAAAGTTCAAAAAAGAGCTATTTTATTTCTGGAAAATGTGTTAGTTTTCTGTTACCATTTGCAAAGATGGGTGTCTGTGAGCCTTTATACCATGAGATAAGCCATGATCAACTATGTTGCTGTCTTTTCTTCTTCATAGTGTATGCCAATTAAAGGCCTAGGATTCGTTCTTGGAGCCTATGAGTGCATTTGCAAAGCAGGATTCTATCATCCTGGAGTCTTACCAGTGAACAACTTTCGGAGTAAGTGTCCTTTGTTTCTATGCATATATATGTATATACATCATATATACTATTATTACGAAGATTTTCTTTTATCCTTGTTAGAGTTATATGGTTGAATAATCATTGGTTTGGCATTCTTTCATCACTTAAGGAGTTTTAGTTTTAGTTTGCCATCTACAATGCTCTGGAGAACCACTAAAATATACCAAAAATATTCTTAGATATGTATCAGTTTTTAATACATTTTAAAAGTCTGAAGATATTGTAGCTATCTGGTAAGACCAATGGGGATTTAGTTATTGAAAGATGCTATTACAGAAAGTTCCTAAAACTAATTTTGTCAGTTTGTTTATTTTACTTACCAATGTGTTTATATGTTTTTAATGCTGCATAAAAAGTTACCATAAATTGAGCAGCTTAAAGCAGCACAAATTGGTTATCATACAGTTTCCATTGGTTAGGTTCCTAGTCCTGGGTTAGCTAGATCCTAAGCTCAAGGTCTCACCACTCTAAAATCAAGATGTTGGCTGGGTATAGTGGCTCACGCTTGTAATCCCAGCAATTTGGGAGGCTGAGGTGGGAGGATTTCTTGAGCTCAGGAGTTCAAAACCAGCCTGGACAACATAGTGAGACCTTGTCTCAATAATAATAATGATAATAATACAATGCAGAGATCATCTTCAAAAAAATATAAGTCTACTTACTGTTATTTGCATTATCTGACCTCTATAAACAATCATGACTAGAGCCATGTCTTCATAAATTTAATAAAATATTACATGCGGAAATTTATAGTTTCAAAAAATAAAAATAAAAGAAACTCAAAGTGTCACTTGGGTGTGATCTTCTCAGAGGCTCAGAGTCCCCTTCAAAGCTCTTTAGGATTGTTGGAAGAATTCAGTTCCTTGCAATTGTAGGCCTGAGGACCTTATTTTCTGGCTGGATGTCAGCCCAGGGTCAGTCTTAGTTCCTAAAAGTTGCCTCAAGGCCTAGCTATGTCACCCTCTCACAATATGGCTGATTCCTTTTTCAAGGCTACCAGGAGACTCTCCCTAGCCTGCTAAGACAGAGTCTTAAATGACAGAGTGTAATAATGGGAGTGACTCTCCCATCACTTCAGCATATAACGTAGCCCAACCAAAAGAGAGAATGTCCCATCATTTTTACGGATCTACCCACATTCAAATGGAAGTGATTATATAGGGCTTCTATTCCAGAATTGAAGTGTGGTCATCTGGTTATTTTATTCCTACTCCGGAAAATGTCAGTGTTACAATTCGAGTATTGAGTATTATTCTATCTCTGGAGAATGAACTTTTGCCACATCACCTTATAGCGATTGGATATAGTACCTAAGAAGAAAGACTGTAGTGGTAACGGGGTGGTTTCATGAAAGTTAGGGTTTGGGAGTTGCTAAAACTAGAGTACAGGTCTTTTTTAAATAGTTACCCATAAATCTTTGCCAGCCCTATTATCTGTGCAGGAATTTGGATTTCTCTGAGGCATACTTCAAAGGGTTCATTGAGATTGAGACCTGAATGTCTTCCTCTGGGAATTTTGGTAGACATTTATAGATTTATATATAGTGCTTTTTCTCTCTCTTAGAAGGCACTATTCTTGGTCCTGAGACTGTTTACATTTAACTTGTAGGTTCTGGAGGTGAGAAACATTTTGCTGTCTCCTCCGCCACATATTTCAGAGTTTAGTCCTTGTTCTGAGTGAGTTGTTGTAGGCAGAATTCTAAGGTGGCCTCTCAGGTTCTGCTTCCACATCTTCTTAAGTGTGGGTGTGAGCTATGAATTTGCTGGGATGCTCACTCCCTTGCTTAGGTTCTGTTATTTAGCAACATAAGAGAGTAAGGATGTAGTCACTTTTGTGATTACATTGTTTTATCTAAGACTCCATCATAGCAGACTGGAAGGAGAGAGAGAATCTTCTACTGGCTTTGAGGAAGTAAACTACCTTGTTGGGGAGACAGCCATGTGGTTGGGACTTGAGAGCAGCCTGTAAGAACTGAGAGCAAACCCCACTAATAGCCTACGAGAAAATAGGGACTTCTAGTACTACAGTTGCAGGGAAGTAAATTCTTCCAACAGCCTGAATACTCTCAGAAGAGGACCGTGAGCTCCAGATGAGAATGCAGCCTCGCCAAAACCTTGATTTCAGCCTGGTGAGGCCCTAAGCAGAGAACCCAGTTACACTGTGCCAAGACTTCTATTCAGTAGAAACAGGGAAATAATAAACAGACATCTTAAGTCCCTAAACTTTTGATCATTTATAATGCGGCAATTGCAAATATACAATAGCAATCCTGGTAATGTATTTTAAGGATGATTATGCTTTTTGGTGTGTGTGTGCCAGACCATGGCGACACCGGAGCTACTTTGGCATTTTTCACGTTTATGGTCCAGACATAACATATGATTCAACACTGAAGGATTAAGGGAAAAGGTTTTAGCTTATGTTCTGTGAAGGTATTTTGTATCTGGTTTACCCACATTTGTTCTCAGCTCCCACTATGTGACTGAAATAAAACATCTAAATATTGTAGAATCAGAGAATGACTATGCCATTTGCTTATAACACTACCAGGAGAAACTGGTTAACCTTTAACAACTTATCTTTATTTAATTTGCACACTCCTACTTTCTTCCTTATTTTAAAAGCCAGTGTTTTCTTACTGGACCTACACTCTAAGAAAAGGCTGCCTCTCTGTGTGAGTCTAACTCCCATGTTATACACGTTGCAGCCATGGAAGAGAGGCCACTCTTTCCAGGAAGATGATCTATAATTGAATTTAGATTTGATTCAGCTTTGACCTCAGCACATACTTAGCCAGGACCAACATTCCTCAGTGACAGAGCCGAACAGTCACTGCATGTTGTAATTTGAAGCCAGTAAGGCAGGGGTCCCCAACCCTTGGGCTGCAGACTGGTGCCAGTTAATGGCCTGTTAGGAACCTGGCCGCACAGCAGGAGATGGGCAGTGGGTGAGTGAATTAGTCCATTCTCGTGCTGCTATGAAGAAATATTCAAGACTGGGTAATTTATAAAGAAAAGAGATTTAATCGACTCACAGTTTCACAGGGCTAGAGAAGCCTCAGGAAACTTACAATTGTGGAAGGCACCTCTTCACAGGGTGGCAGGAGAGAGAATGAGTGTTGAGCGAACGGGGAAGACCCTTATAAAACCATCAGATCTCATGAGAACTCACTATCACGAGAACAGCATAGTGAAAACTGCTCTCATGATTTAGTTATCTCCACCTGTTCCTGTCCTTGACACATGGGGGATTATTACAATTCAAGGTAAGATTTGGGTGGGGACACAGAGCCAAACCATATCAGTGAGATAGTATTAATGCCCAAACTCTGCCTCCTATCAAATCAGTGGTGGCATTAGATTCTCATAGAAGTGCAAACTCTAATGTGAACTGCACATGTGAGGGATCTAGGTTGCACGCTCCTCATGAGAATCTAATGCCTGATGATCTGAGGTGGAGCAGTTTCATCCCCAAATTGTCATCCTGCATGCCCTCCACCTCAGTCCATGGAAAAATTGCCTTTCATGAAACCAGTCTCTGGTGCCAAAAAAGGTTGGGGACCACTGCCGTAAAGTACTCTTTAACCAGAAATAGCTTTCCTGATAGCCTTGTCAAGTTTCACAAAAATCCAACATTAATCACTTCTTGTCCTAAAGAGAGAGTACAACAACCTGACTAGGAATATGAGCTGTGTAACTCACCGGTGTCATCATCCAAGAACTACTCAATATTTTTTATATTTTGGGCTTATATGAGAATATATTGCATGTCTCCGTGTTTTAATTTATTAGGTCTCTTCATCATAGTATCCAGGCAAGTTATAGGGAAAGTTATTTTTATACTTTCTTGATGAGGTATCTGTGAGATAAGGAATGACCACATGTAGTCCTTGAGCCAAAGGTAAGAAAAGCATTAAGGACCCAACATATAAGATAACATGGAAAACTGCTAGCACAGTACATGGCATATAATAAGTGGTCAATACACAGTTAAATAATTAAATACACATATACTCACATATAAAAACAAAATATTAATCATGCATGTAAAGAGATACCTCCTAAGCACCACTGGTCATTAGCACCTTATCTCAAATATTTTATTATATTAGGATAACTAGTGACTTTAGCTGGGACCTTTGGAGAATTAATTCTACAATAGGAGGAAATTAGTTGAGAAACAAAGGATATCTTTGAGAAGCAAAGATAAAATTCACTTGATTTATAATTGTAAATAGAGAAAAAAGACCCCAAATTCCTAAATCTCTTGTAGTCTTGTGTCCCCTTTGGAGAGAGGAGCTAAGATGTGGTGCTGATCTCTTAGAGAAAATATATATATGACTTAAAAATTCTGTTAAAATGTGAAGTGATTTAAAAATCTTTATTTAGACCTAGGCCCACAGTAAACAAATGGCTCATGAAGACCAAGAGAATGTATTCAAATAACATGATATGAAATTGTGCTGACAGTCCAGAGACCTTGTTCCTGGCATCTCTCTTGAAGTTAGTAATCATATGCGAGTTAATGGGATCTGACATCTGGATAGTAGCAGGATTTCAGAATAACCAAGTACTGATGTTTCGCTGTCTCTTCAAATCCAGGTTGTTCCCTTCCAGGTTGATGAAATACAAGCTTGTGACTAGCTCATCTTCCTCAAATTCATCTCTCCTAGTATGGATTCTGTCTTCAGTGAAACTGCTTTTATCTTTTGTGTGGATATAGTGCCAGTCTTTCAGTCTTATTTCTTTCACCTTTTGGATTGACTTCAGCCTGTATACATTTCCAAATCTCAATTTACAAGTGAGCCATATCCAAAAATGATAATCCCTACTTACGCAGCTCTAGTGCTATTGATATGAGAAGATACGATGGGAGGAAAAAGATAACAAAGTAATTAGAGACATAAAGAGTATGCAGTTCTGGAAGAAAAAGAAGGGAAGCTCTTTGAAAGTGGTACAGTTTAGGGATTCTGGCTG